GCATGGGAAGAATTGTGTGTCCTGTCGTACGGGTGACAGGTAATTTGGGTTGCAAATTGTTGTGATGCCCTGAGTTGCATGTATGTGCGTGAGACTAATATTTTTTGCTTACAAAATATTTAAATAAGTGTTGTACAAAAAGTAGAATATTGTTTTACTACATATTTGTTTATCTGCAACATCTTATAAAACCTCACCGTTGTAATAAACCTAGGAGTAGACTCCAAATCGGGAAAAAGTGCCTCATACGGGCTGACAAGATAGAAGAAGTACCGAGACCGATTGGTCAAGTCCAGCAGTACGGTGGTGGCATTGCGAAGAAGAACTTCTGTTGCCTCCATTTTGAAGAATGATGATGATAAGGTGGTTGTGGTTGAAATTTAAAGAAAGCTGAAGTTTAAAATCACCAAAAAAATTGAAAAGATTTTAGAAATCACATAATTTAAAAAACATTAATTCATTTCAGATCATCAAATCTTGAGTGTAGAACAGAAAATAAAAAACAAAAATTAAAGTAAAATCAGGGCAATTTCAGTACAGACACGATGTGACAGCAAAAAGTGGTTATAGAGAGAGGTGGACAAGTTAGTTTAAGCTTGAAATGAAATGAAATGCCATCGGACATGACATCGTCCGGTGATACGCTGACCACTACGACCACAGTCAACCACGACCACCACTCTCTCTCTCTCTTCCTCTTTCCCGCCACTCTTTTCATTTCTAGCAGTGTCTCACTTTCTCTAAAGCACACACGGCAAGACAAAACAGTGCAAGAAAAATTAACTGCTGCAGTGGTGATGATGCGCCAGCAAGTCCAGGTATAGCTCTCTACGTCTCCGTAATTACGATGCTCACGAAAGCTGATGCTGATGCTCAGACATACGACAGTGTGTGACTGCACTGAGAAGTGAGAGGCATTGCGGATGTTTTCAGTGGAACGAGAAAACGAGTGAAAAAATATCTTTCTTAAGCCGAGATAACTAATTGCGGATTTTGAAGCAGAGATGAACAGAAACGGAAGGAGAGAGAAAGAGAGACACATACCTCCGTAAGTCACTGATCAGCACTGTACTCTCCTCCAAGTTTACTGATCTTATCAGATCAAGATCGTTCATCTATGCTGACCTCCATTAAACTGCTATGATGATGATATTATACTTTAATGAATGTTATAGAGAATCCGTCATTCAGGTGTNTAAGCCGAGATAACTAATTGCGGATTTTGAAGCAGAGATGAACAGAAACGGAAGGAGAGAGAAAGAGAGACACATACCTCCGTAAGTCACTGATCAGCACTGTACTCTCCTCCAAGTTTACTGATCTTATCAGATCAAGATCGTTCATCTATGCTGACCTCCATTAAACTGCTATGATGATGATATTATACTTTAATGAATGTTATAGAGAATCCGTCATTCAGGTGTGTCATGTTTTTGTTTGCGTGTGTGTGTTTGTGTATTTAGAAGTAACAAGTTAGATTACAAGTTGACTGAATTCATATTCCAACATGCAATGGGGATCGACAGATCAATACGTAGGTCTGCAAAAGAGAAGAGAAAAAAGAAGAGAGAAAGGTGAGAGAGAGAGAGGTGACGTAAAAGTTTGTACGACGATAAGAACAGATGAGATGCAGCTGATTGAGAGTCAGTTTTAGACAGAGATAGGAGTGTAGAAAGAGAGGAAGAGAGAGGGGAGATAAAAGATGATCATGCTGGACAGTCTCAGCGAGGACAAGATGGAGGTGGAAGGCGCTCACAGCTCAGGAGTGTCTTTCTCGGTCCTGGTGGTTGGTTGATGATGCATTTCAATGCACTAAATAGGTGTGTAGGTGGTTCGTAGGTGTGGGTGTCGAGTGGAGGGTAAAAATAGAAGAGAATCTGGTGTTGTAAATTTGTAGATGATCAATAATTTAAGTAATGAATGAAAAAACGCCAACAAGAGAGAAAACACCTGAACGGCGTTTTGGAATAGGGTTCATGATCGGCGTTTGCTTGTTTGTTTGCTTCTATGTACGTGGGTGTAGCTGCTGTTGTTGCTGTTACGGCTGCTATTGTGTGTGTCTGCGAAGATGATCTAGTCAATGGCTACTGTTCTCTCCTGTTCATTCACTCATCGGCATCATCATCGTCGACGTCGCCGTCATCGCCGAGTTTTCGCTTCTCGCCCTTGCTAGTCTGAAGTGCGTCCTCCTCCTCCTCTTCCTCATCGTCCTAAGCAAAAATAAAATTATTAAACTGTCATGTCAAACTCCAAATCCCAATAACTTACAATGTCGTCATCCTCATCATCGTCATTCTCTCCCGGAGCAAAGTCCTCCTCATCTTCGTCCTCCTCCTATAAGTCATCAAGTTGGTAAAAACTGTCAGTGAGGAATGTCCTAAAAACTTACATCTTGCTCCTTGTAAATGTCTGCCAAGTTGCCTGGCACCTGTTCGTCCTCCTCGTCTCCTTCTTCGTCATCCTCCTCTTCGTCTTCGGCGCCATCGTCATCGTCCTCCTCGTCGTCCTCTTCGCCATCATCGGCGCCGTCTTCGACGCCATCATCCCCGTCTTCCTCATCCTCCTCATCGTCTTCAGCATCAACTTCGCCGACTCCGGCAGCGTTCTCATCATCGTCTTCTGCGTCGTTTTCATCATCGTCATCGTCATCATTCTCATCTTCGTTTTCTAAAAAAATAACAAAATTTATTGAATGAATTCAAAGCCAATTCGCCGAATGGCAAAGAAAACACTCTACCGTCTTCGTCTTCAATCTCCTTGTTGTTCTTATCGTACCCATCCAGATATTTGAGGCTAAATATAAAAGAGAGCAAGCAATAAGTATTAAAAAGCCTTTTTCTAAAAATGAATACACGTACTTGGGAAGCAGTTCAAAGACGCGACTACGGTAACCCTCCACCTCGGTTACCTCACAGTTAAAGAGATCCAAAATCTCCAGCTTTGTAAAAACATTCTGTAAAATAGATAAAGTGTAAAACTTTGTTGTAATTTCGAAAATGACAAACAAACCAATGGCTCCAATGAGTCGAGATCCTTGAAGCGGTTTCCACAGAGATTAAGGTACTCTAGCTCTGGAGAATTTGCCAGGTGTTCAAGGCCATTCGAAATTCTGTAAAATCAACAAATGCAAGTTAGATCAAACAATGATAATTTCAAAAACACTAAAAAGATTACCTGTTGTCACTCAATTCGAGTCGCTTAAGTTTGGGTAGCTTGGGAAAGTTCTTCAGAGAAGTGAGACCAATGTTGATCATCGATAAGACTTCGAGGTTGCAAAAGCTATCGTCCAAACCGACAATAGACTGACTTCTGCAATTGTCCAGGCAAATTTCCTTGATCTGAAAAGACAAATGAAAAAGTAAAGTGCGTGAGTAACTGTAGAATCTGGAGATTTAAATTCGGGCATTAAAGTGTCCTGCTGGTACAGAGATTCTCTCACGAGGTGGCGATGCTCTATAGTCGCCAAAGCAGAGGGCAGGCGTGTTTTCAACCGCACAGCCGACGTTAGTAAAAAGGCGCACTCTGAGCTTGAACTCAATCAGTTCCATGGTTGATGCTGCTTTGGGGCAATTGTGGTACATTGCAAGTGAAGGCACTCAGTGGTGTCGAGGAATGGCCGCAAAATGCACACCGAGGCGAACAGATAACAATGGAAACACATGCTAGGGAGTGCAAATGCCAGTAACATGGGCGCTGACGTAAGAGAGTGTGTCGATTCAGGCAGAGGACCCACAGTTCGATGACACGACAACGTGTCACGTGTTTGGGTGAAGTCCTGTTCTAGGACCAAATGAGACGAGGACTCCACTTAAAACAGGCACATTTTGAGCATTCAGCGAGCTGCTACAGCGGTTTGGCCATGATTGAAAGTGAAATGTCAAGTGTAATGTGCTAGTGCTTACCAAATCGGCCGAGCGTCCACGCCTCTCAAGATCAATGCGCTTCTCCATTGGTAAGTCGTAAGAGGTGTGCTTATGAAGGCGGAAGTGTCAGAAGTGTCGGGTGAGGTCTTTCGGCAGCACAACCGGCAGAGGATGCTACCGGAGAAGTAGGGTTGCGGAAGATGGAACGGAGAGAATGCTGCTGCTGCTGCTGCTGGTGCTGGTGCAATGCACTTCGAAGGTGTTCTCACTGCGACCGAACCGTGCGGTGACAGGCGGTGCTGCTGGGCAATCAGTGCTCTCCGAAGGCAGGAGGCCAGGCGTGAAGACAAGGGCGGCGAGGACTGGGACCGGGGACTGGCTGCGGCAGAAGATTCGGGACGAGGACTGTTGTTGTCTTTTGCTGAAGGCTAACGCACACACACACACACACTTGGTGGCCACTCTGACGAGACCTGCGCTGGTGGTGGTGAAGAGACGCGCTGCAGAGAGAGAGTGCCTGCCTGGCCGCCAGAAGCACATATACAAAGAGAGAGAGAGAGAGAAGAGAGAGAGAGAAATTCTCAGAGGCAAAGATGGCGAACAGTGCTGCACTGCAGCGCCGCCGCTGATTTCAAACTGGCGGCGCGCGCCAGTTTGAAATGATTTTCTTGATTGTCCCGTTGCTGTTGCTGCTGATGCTGATGCTGTTGTCGCTGACTGACTGACTGAATGACTGATGCAGCGACTGAATGGCATTTATTTCTAAACGGATATTAGAATCCGTTAGCGATGATTGTTGATGCAGTACCATTTCAAAGGAGTTTGTGAATGGAAATCAAAATGCCTGACCAACTTTTGGCTGTGTCGTCTGATTCGGATTTGAAGATGCAGTGCCATTCTTGGAGGATGAGCACTTTTTTTGGTGGTGACGACCGAAAAGCCCTTTTTCCGAGACATTGTAGGGCAGTTTGTGTCCAGAACTGTTCTTCCCAATGCGAGGACTATGTTTATGTGTCGTTATGGATAGTGCTGCTGATAAACAGTGAATCACAACCGCACAACAACCGTGGTGAGGCCAACCAGGAGAGAAAGAGAGCGAGAGCAAACAACAGGCAACCTTTGTTGTCGGTGGTGGNTGTTTATGTGTCGTTATGTGCTAGTGCTGCTGATAAGCAGTGAATCACAACCGCACAACAACGGTGGTGAGGCCAACCAGGAGAGAAAGAGAGCAAGAGCAAACAACAGGCAACCTTTGTTGTCGGTGGTGGAGGAGTCTACTGTCGCTGCAGCAGTTTCCAGTGAGCAGTAGAGCTGCTGGCGGCGTAACGGCAAGTAAGAGCCAGAGAGTGTCTTATCGAGGGAAAATTTAAATTGGCCGATATCATATTTGATACTGATCGGTGTGTGAGTATGTGCTAGGCAGAGCTGTCTGTTTGCCTTTCCTTCCCCATCACAGTACTCTCGTTACCACACATCAATTGCTGGTGCTGGTGTTCTGTCTCTGTAACGCTAAACAACTGCGACTGGTCTCTTCTGTCTGCTTGCACATACTCCTCTGGTCGCACCTGCACCGGTGGTAATCCCTACGCTGACGGAATCCTTTCCCCCTCTTTTTTGTTCGAAAACTTGGTGCAAAATGTTTAGGGCGATCCTTAGCAAGCTGCAGGGGATGGACGTCCGAAAGGCCTTCGTGTGGGCGCTGGTGGCGGCCACCATCATCACAGCTCTCATGCCTTTCATCGCCTACAAGTCCAGCCGTGTAAGTATTGTGCATGGCTTCGATTTGGTGTAATGTTTTGTTGATGTTCTTCTTTTCCCTACCAAGGATCCCGTTGTGGGCGAAATCTTAGGCAGCTGCATCATTGGCATGGCTCTCCTCTTGACCGCTATGGTTGGCCATTCGTGCGATTCGTACTTTACCATCTACATCTTTTTTGTAAGCTGAGGTTCTTTTTCTTTCAAAAATTGATAATTTCAATTTTCACTTCACTCTCCAACAGGCCCTCACTATTTTGCACGCCATTTTGAACGTCGCGATCAGCATTTCATTCCCCCTCTTCAACATTTTGGTTTTGAATCAAATTATACTTGTCATAGTGGGCTTTTTCCACGCTCGGAATTTGCGTTTTGGCAGTGGCGGCATCAAGCCTCAATATCAGTACAGAGTTCCGGACAATGTTCGAGTTGAAGGCTGAGCCACTATATTCGGTTTCATAGAGATCAGCTGCCAAGTGCGTCTGTACCAGAAGACTCAACTTGATTTCATCCCCCACTGTGCGTCGAGCACGTAAATCAATCTACAAATTAGTAAATTTTATCAATACACATTTGTAATATTACCACACCATGAAATAAATCATTCCTTTTACCTGAAATCAAATTGTCCTTTTTTGATGCACTTTTTCATTTTCCCCAACATCAGCGAGCCAACACAATCGAAAAACAATCGATACTTTGATAGTGTCGCACCGAAAACATGTGCAGAAAATTGTTGTTTTGATTTTGAAATCAGCATCGTACACTTATCTTTCAAAAATGTTTGCTTTCAGTTACCTTCCTCGATTCATTTCATGCCTGAAGCCTTTACATTTGAACAGGATACAGCAGTGCAATATCAACAAAAGCTTGGTCTCTTCATTTTCAACAAAAAATGACGCAGATATTGAGAACACCGACATCCCCGGCCTGGTGGACAGACCAAGACTGCAAAACACTGTGCCTCAGGTGAAAGACAAAAGAAAAACAATGATTGATCGAGTCCCGGGAAACATTAAAATAAAAACCAACCCCAAGGACACTACCATTATGATGTTCCCCGGACAAGGCAGTCAGTTTGTGGGAATGGGCTCGGCGATCTTTGAAGTGCCGAACGTTGAGAAACTCTTCTCCACCGCCAAAGCCATCCTCGGCTATGATCTGCTGAAGATGTGCCTTACCGGCCCGATAGAGATGCTCAACAAGACCGAGTACTGCCAACCAGCCATCTACGTGACGTCACTAGCCGCCATAGAGTACTTGCGAAGCATCAACTCGGCCGAAGTTGAGCTTTGTGTCGCCGCAGCGGGCTTCAGCATTGGCGAGATTACCGCGCTCGTCTTTGCCGGTGCCATGTCCTTTGAAGACGGCCTCAGGCTGGTGAAGCTGCGCGGTGAGGCGATGCAGTACGCCTCTGAGCTAGTGCCTTCTGCCATGGCGACGACCTTCTTTCACGCCGACGCCAATGTGAACCTCGCCTGTCAGGCAGCGCGTGAGTGGTGCAAACGGAAGGACATACCGGACGAGTACGCCGTCTGCTCGGTGGCCAACTACCTCTTTGCTCACTGCAAGGTCATCGCCGGCCACGAGGAGGCGATCAAGTTTCTCGAACTGAGCGGCAAAGACTTTGGCCTGAAGAAGATGCGACGACTGCCCGTCTCAGGCGCCTTTCACACCTCGCTCATGGAGCCGGTGACGAAGGTGCTCGCGGAAGCTCTCAAGCAAATCAAACTGGAGGTTCCACTCATTCCAGTGTACTCGAACTTTGACGCCAACGTGTACCGAAGCGAGGAGGAGATTCGCAGAAAGCTTACCCAGCAGGTGTGCAAACCAGTCAAGTGGGAGCAGATTCTCCACAATCTCTACGACCGTCCGGCAGACGTTCCATTTCCTCGCACTTATGAATGCGGTCCTGGAACAGCTCTGCTCAGCACGCTCTCTATGGTGAACCGGGCAGCTCGGCAGCATAGTAAACATGTCAAGGTATAATCCCTCGATCTCTAAAACCTTTCATTCTTTTTTCTTTTTTCGCAATACCATTTTGGGCTCTAGTAAATAAACGAAAAACACATTTTAAGATTAGAGCTGATCCATGAGATTACATTTGCAAAAAGAAAAATGGAAACTTAAATAAATGAACGTTTCTAAACTAACCTGTGCACAATGTTTATAATTACCATTTTTTTGTCTGGTTATTTATTGTTAGAAGAAAAAAATCTACAACTCAGTTTTTTGTTTTAAAAGTAACAAATTACCAATTAAAAGTTTAAATGCCGTACAAAAAATAACTACTTTGTCATGTCAAAAACCGCAAAAACAAAAAGCGACAATTAATAATTTATTAAGTTTTTTAAGCGTTCGCTCTAAGCGACCATCATTAGTTGTTAAAAAATACTTTTATTTTGCAATCGGCACTGCTAATAACAAGACTGGGTTATCAATGTACTTCAGTCCGAAAAATGTTTTCAGTTGTTTACGTGTTTGCGTGCTTTTAAATTGAATACAAAGACTGAAAACAACTGTCACACATTAAAATGTACATTTTCAAAAAGCATTGAACAATCAAGCACATTACAAACAAAAATTAAAAAATTGAAATTAAAAACTAACTTTTTTAAATGGATCTTATCTTTTGTCAGCCCTTTCCCTACAAATCACTTTCCTTTATTCATCAGTACCTTCACACCTTCTACACCTTTAGCAGACCAAAGAAAATCAAGTACTTTCAACTACTTTTCAGCTTGCTATCCCTTAAGGTGATTCATTATGCCGCTGTGGGAGTTCTTCAGCCTAAAACTCCATTAAACAAACTCCTTTTTGTTGACGTTTTTGTCATCAGCAATCTTCCTCGGTTGGCGGCCAACTGCATGCTGATCTCCTACCTCCTTCTAGGAGGCTACTTTTTGCTTCTAAACTACTTTGACCCTGACAGTCGATTTCCAGTAGACATTATGCGTGACTTTTTTGTCATAGGCAAAACTTCTCTTTTCACCTCTGGCTACTTTTACAAAGGCAATCAAACAGTTTTTGACCACATTAAAAAGTATTGCTATTTAGTGCTTAATCTTCTTCAGGTGTTTATCGTTGCCATTGACAGTTTCATCATTCTTTCACAAGTCATTGCCTTTTCAATGCTCATTTCAGAAGTTTTTTCAGCAGAGTTTGGACTGTTTCAAAAAGTAGCTATTTTTGTTCTAGTTCAATTTAACCTGATCACACTTTACGGAGCACTTTTTACCTTTTCCTACTCGTTAATGCTTCAGGCGGCGCTCGCTTTTAGTTTACTCGAGGTCGTTCGCCTGGTGCTTCGAGAGCTGGAGCAACAGGTGATTCTTCTTGGTGGAAAAGTTTTTAAAAACTCTAAAATCATAAGTAATCACAAGAAAGCTTCTTCTCCTTATCAGCACGCCCGATTCAGGAGACACTACACTGCCCGCGTGGTCACTTATTGCATTGGAAATGCTTACGTGGGAAAAGCTTTCATTCCACTTTTAGCTGTCAACTGTCCAGCTAATGCTCTTCTCAGCATTGCCCTACTCAATTTGAAGTTAAATACTGGAGTTCAACTTCTTTTGTTGGCCATTTTTTGTATGCAGTTTCTCTGCATCTTTCTGGTTCATTCTATGATTGCCTACCTCAATGATAAGCTTAATCAAATTGCCCGGCAGTATGTCCCACTTTTCTATCGTCAATTAGGCAGCAGTTATCTGTGTTTTAACCAAAAACAGAGGCTAAGGGGTTATTTGTTTTTGGAGCGATTTTACACCACTAAACCTTATGGATTTACGTACATGCGTTTTGGGCACATTTCAATGTTTACTTTTGTAAAATATCTAGTGCTCAGTTCAGAGATGCTAATGATTGTTTACAAAGAATTGCAGATTCATAAAGCAATTTCTTGAGTAGAATTTGTACAATTTTTATATTTTAAAATCAAAACAAAAATTATTTACCAATTAAAAACCAAAAATTGTATTTTTTAAATCGTTAATTTTTACTAATAAAAGTTTTGAGAACATAAAGCATTGATCAAAACATTTGCTAAAGTACAATTGCACCATTGTTTAAAACAATTATGTTGAAACAACACGCGGTTGTGCGTTTGACGCACAAAAAGTTTTTGCATTAAAAAACTTATTTTAGTTTTAAATAAACGGTAGCGAAATAATCAAGTAACAATAGTTAAAACGATAAACTTAAAAATTATCGATAAATCAAAAACGTAAATAAAATACATGCATTAACACATTGAATTAAACAAATAAAGTTGAACTTGTAACTTTTTACTTTCAAACAAATTATTCAGTTAAACTTTAATTTAAAATGGACTTTCAAAATCCAATTAGGCTAATTTCTAACACTGTTTTTTCAGTACTTCACTTCTTTGTTGTCCATTTAAAATCTCACTATTTTCCACTTGACTCAATGCGTCACTTCAACTCATCAGAACAATTTAACTCTGAATTTTCAAAAACTAAATCCAAACTTAACTGGAAAGATCGTTTTTATGCCAATTTCCAATACTCGATTCCTTTTTTCAGTTTGCTGATGTTAAATGTGGACACAGTTTTCGTTTTTAGAAGCCATAGTTACCATTACAATTCAACCGGAATGCCGGATTTATTTACCCACAAAGTCTTCCCATCAATTATGTGGCCTCTGGGCGACTTGGAGATGGTGATGGGCATTGAGACGGAGTTTGCCATCTACGGATTGCTTCTTTTGGTTGGGCCAGTTCCGACAAAACTACTAATCTATGTCATTCCTAAAAATGTAATTGAAAATCAGAAAAACTCTTATGTTCTTGTTCAAAACGGAAAAGGTAATTTTTTAACTTAAACTTATTCAATTAACGAAATTTTTTTATTTTTTTAGTAATTCCTTCACCACTTGCCGACCAACTGTTGACTTTTCACCTCAAAGCTCGCAAGTGGTTGGGTCGCTTTATGTTAGTCGTCTGGTTAGAGGGGTTTGTCTACTGGAACGGCAGTTTATGGCTAAAGGGGAGTCACACAGTTCGAGATCTTCTGCTCAAGGTCTACGTACCCTTTTTCTCACTGTACTCTGTTTCTGCTATCTGCTTTATGCCTTTCTACTTTCTAATGGACGTCCACTACTGCCGACTAAAACAAAAAGATAACTTGCAAAAAATTTCTATTAATGTTCACCATTTAACTAAATTAATGAGCAGCTTTAAGAAATTAGTTCCAGGAAACAACTTTGCTAAAAAATGCAGTGCGGTAAAGAGTACTTTTGCCAGGGGCTGCCGCATGGCTCTGATTCTCTTTAAAGAATGCTCAGTCTTGGATCGATACTGGCGCCCACTGATGAGTGTTGAGTTTGTCGGGTACATCTCAATGATTTGCTATCTGTTTCACGGATTCTTTACTGACACAAACGCTTTTGAGTTGGGCCAGAGAAGTTTCTTTGTCTTCTTTGCCATTGAGCTGTTCATTTTTTTGATTATTATTACGCTAGAATGTTCTACTGTGGTTTCGGGTAATGTAAAATACTACAACCTAAACAAAAAATATGTAGTTGAAATGAACAGGAATAAAGAGTTGATAACTGGCGTTGGAATTCATGAGAGGCTTAAGGTGAGTGCTATTTATTGCATAACTTAAAATTGCAAGTTTAAAACTTTTTTGTTTGTTAGCTTGATGCACTGGTGGCTAATTTTAAAGGAACACGATCTATTGGACTTCATCTGAGTAATGGAACTTTGATTGACTCAAAAATGTTTGAAATGGTAAATCAAACGTATTTTTAGAGACTTTTAAAACTGATTTTGATTTTAATTTATTAGCTTTTCTTTTACATTTCAACGCTTTACATGAAGGCTTCAGAGTACAACTAAATAAAAAACTTTGAAATAATTTATAAAAAAATTTTAAATTATAATGTAAAGTTTTTTTTAAAAGAATGATTGTGTTCATTCTAATGATTTTCAAATAAACATTAAAAACTAGTTTGAAAAACAATTCTATACAACAACACCTTGAGTGCATTGTTTCAGAAAAACATTAAAAACTTTATGATGTTTTATTACCAAACTAAAAAACAGCTTGTTTCTGTTCAAAAAACATAACTTTTATATTCTCAATTTGAATTTGTTATTGCCTTGAAAAAAAACCATCTAAAATTTTTTTAATAAAAAATTGTGTAAATAAAACTTTTTGCTTAAAATGACTTGTCTTTTTTACTGGTTTAAATCATATTTAATTGATCCAATGACTCGGCACGCCCTTGACCTTGCTTACTACCTAGATCCTGTGGCCAATGAACACAATAACAAAACTTGTTTCAAGAAAAAATCCACTTGGAGCTTTACCTTTTTCTTTCCGATGATTTCCATGGTGGCCACTTTTTTCTACGGAAACGTGCTCTACGTGGCTGTGACCATAAAAGAAAATATTTTAAAACTAGATGTAAAAACTTTAAAAAACAGTTCAGCTATGATGTACCATCAAATCTTTCCGCGGGCGACCTGGTCGCAAGTGGAGGTTGCTTACTGTATCCTTGCCACCTCTGCCATTGCACTTTACGCCACCTTCCTTCGACGACCATTTCCTTCGGAGGAGCGGTACAAAAAGATAATATTACAAAACCACAAAAAGAAAAAAAATATAAACAACATCATTTTAGTTTTTAGAAAGCAAAGTAATTAACAAAAATTTTTTGAAAATTAAACTGAATCAATTTTTTGTTTTAGGATTTTCACCCGCTCTTTCTGCCACTCTGCTTTCTGTTCACCACCGTTTCACCCGTCTTTCCTTTTTCGCTCTGCTTTCAACCAATTTAATTTGCTTTGGAATTCTCTACGCCCACGTCTTCTTTGTTAACGCTTTCTATAAAGTGAGTTTGTGGGACGCCGTCCTCTGGCTAGTGGTTTATCCAATTCATCAGTTTTATTCGCTTTATGGTAATATAATAGATAACATTTATTAAAGCACTGATTTATAAAAATTCAATTTTTTCAAGCTCTTTTCCAACTGATCGTCTTTGTCTTGCTCGCCAATCAGTTTCTCGTTGTTCGACAAAAGGCTTTGCTTGCCAGTTTAACGTCACTGAACCAAAAATTACAAAGTTTTCAAAGTCAAGAAAAAGTGCCAAGATCTTTAGACCACGTTTGGGCAGCCTTCATCGTTTTAAACCGTTCCCTAAACAAATGCTGCACTGATGTACATCGCACAGCAACTTACTGGTAAGGACCTTGCCTTTGTCGGTGTACTTTCTCCTTTTTATCACCCTGAACTGCTACCTTACGTACATTGTCTTTTTCGTGAAACACGCCCACCTGGCGGCCCACGCCCTTTTTGTGTACGGCCTTGTAGAAGTGGAGGCGGGCCTTTATTTTGTAGTAGCACTTTGTGCCAGGTTAAGCAAAATGAATAGGAAAGTAGAGAAAGGGTGTGGAAACTTTTATCGAACCTTTCTGTGGCAGAAAGGTTTTGCTGTCGGCGGTAGTACTTTATCAGCAGTAAATGTATCAAAAGCTTTAAAGGTACTTTTGAAATTGTTGTAAGCATAATTGAATTTGAAAAAATGGTTTTTTATTTTTTCAGGCTGAAACACTTCAGATTAGTGGCCGCCTTCGTCTGTACTGTATGCGACTGTTTACTTTTTATCGCATCAGCTCAAAAACGTTTTATATGGTAAGTTGTTTTTAATTTTTTAAAAGTTGTAATTTTAAAAATGTTTCACTAAAGGTCATCTCTAACAATGCGTTACTCTTTTTGTTTTTATTTAAACGGCAATAGTAAATTATAAAACATTGCATTGACAATTTAAACACACATTGTAATGTAGTGAACAATTTAACGTAAAAGTTTAAAGCTGAAAATAATTAAACGACAGTAGGCAATAAAATTCTGCAAAAAGTAAAAAAATGCATTTAAAAATAAAACAAAACAAACAACACGACTTTTGCCTTTTTGAAAAAACAAAAGTTTACCAACCTTTCCATAAGAGCTCATGGAGATAAGCGAAATGGAGCCATAGGTGATGCCGTACCGCTTGACCACCATAAACTTGGCAATGTAGTGGGCGTGTTTTAGTTGACTTATCAGGGACTGTTTTTTATCAATCGTACAACCAAGCGAAAATAACCTTTTAGTGTGACTGTGCAAGTGGACAGTGTACAGCGTACTGACCCAGTGAATGGCAAATTGGCCGGCCAACTGACCAAACAACCACACGGTAAAAACCGGGGCAACATGCGACTTAAATTTTCCAAGACAGAGTGACATTGTCATGTAGGCATTAGCAGGTGGAAAGACAATCACTGCAGCAAGCAACACTTGTCCACAGACTATATTTGCAGTGATAACAGTTGATAAAGTGGCAGTGTGAAGTCGGTAAAAGGAGCTCAAGATGATTGGGTTAATTTTGAAGTTTTTGTTGTTCTCAGGAGATTTCAAAATTCTGTTGATCACCTTCAATCTGAAAAATGTAGCCGTAGTAAATGTGAGGTAGACTATGACTGATAAGTCACAAGCGTGAATAAACACCAGAATGGCAAAGTAGTCGTTTAGCAGGCTGGCCTGGCTGGTTAGCATCCTCAATAGACCAAGTAGATTCCTAATATTGTAAAAGTCAGCATTCGCTTGGAAGGCATCTCGAAAACCGCACTCGAGCTGTATGATCCACGAAGCTAATTTTTGGAATAAAATTTGTACGTGAGAGTGATTTTAGAAATTTACAATTTTTACCTCCAATGATATATAAAAACTGAAATGCATAAACGACCAGTTCAATGCTGTATCTAATTTTCTGGCTTGTTTCTTTCAATACGTTTGCTGATTTTTTCCTTCTTTTTTCAACTTTTTTCTCTAATAGATAATTACTCTGGTCCTTTTTCAGTACCACTAAACTGACCAATTTGACCAACTTTAGCGCTTCAAAACGAAAGTACAATTGCTCAAGAATGTAGCTACCCAAAATGATTACACCGGCAAAAACGAGTCGATTTCCTGCAGGAAAACCGCTCAGGTAGTTAAAATCAAAGTTTAATAGGCGAGTCGAGAGAGGAAGATCAGACAAGAGGTACAGCATAATCATTTGAGTTGCTCGAGAAAAAGTGATAAATTGTGCTAGACGAACTTGTCTTTTTGCTGAAGATAAAGAATTACGTTTGAAAACAGTTTCAGCTAATGTTTTTGAGTAAGTGGTCAACAGAGTTTTCAAGTTGTATTTGATTGGGCTCACTATTGGCAAAATGTGATAAAAACGGTTTTGGAAGTTTAATTTGACCATAACTTTGTTCAGAGTTTTTTTACTTTATTGTTAAAAAGAATTAAAATGACATTAAAATAAATGCAGTTTTTAATTTTTCAAAAAATGTTTTTAATTATTTATCATAAATGTACTCTTTATGTAACTTCTTGTTCTTGTAGTTTGCTTTATTTTTTTAAATATTGACTGAACCTGACACACGCACATTCTGTTTTGTAGAATTTGCTGAAACAAAAAATATATTTGAGAAATCGATTATTGTCAACTTGAATATTTAATGAGCACAATTATTTTTGAAAAATTTTTTGAAAAAGTGAGTTTTATAAAAACTACTTTGTTTTGTTTATTTGTTGTTATTTTGTTTAATAAAACCACTTTAAAAATTAAATTTGAAAAAAGTTTATTAATCAATGTAAAAGTGATTATTGCAAGAGAGAAGAAGACAATTTACAAGATAGTTAACCAAAAGAGTAGCAGCAAAAAAGAGATTGCTAATAAAAGCAGAAAGTACACTTTGTTGGCTTCATCCAAAAGAGTAGTCACATCGACTGGTGATGATCACTAGCAGGACCAAGCCAAATCATAAGTCTCGGCTGCCATTTGACTAAGTCGATAAGTGTACGTGTGTTTGTAATAATAGAAGGCGAGGCAGCTTTACTCGATTCACACAGGGTCAGTCTGATTCAGGTAATTCGTAATTGTAGAGTGCACTACCAGAAGTTCAGTATACAGTGCTCAGTCATTCAATCCTTTATTCAAGATTGGCCGCCGCAATGAGCTCTTCCAGCTGGTCAATTCGGTCGCTCTTCTCCTTTAGCTCACTCCTCAGTTTGTGAATCAAAGCACGCTGCTCCTGGAAGACGGACCAAAGCTAAAAAAGGGAAAGAATTAGAATAAAACATTAATCGGTGAAAAAAGAAACTCTTTATAAACATACCTCTCGTTCATTCTTTGGATCCTTGGCCGCCAGGTGCGCCTCGATGAGATCAGAAGTGGAGGCAGTCTTGTCGGTGAGTGAGTTATCGCTGGTGGGTGAGTGGTTGAGGTGGTGGTGGTGGTGAATGCCAAAGTGGTGCCGCCCACTGCCACTTCCATTGCTGTCCTCCGTGGCCATCACCCCGTCGTAGTTCATCTCCTCGTTCATGCTGTCATCGGTGGTGTTTGCCAGCGAGTCGTCCGAGTCGGAGTGAATGGTGACGTAGGTGGCCGCGGGCAGCTGCTTCACCGCCACAATGTCACACATCGGCGTGGACTTCTCCTCGGCACTGTCCTCGTCGTCGTCGTCCTTCACCCAGGGCAGCTTGTTCCGTCGGCCGCTGCCGCTGAAGGACTTGTTGTTCTTCCTGCTCACCGCCTCGTGGAAGTTGTTCAGCAGCATTGACTCAGATTTGCTGCCTTCCTTGGAGAGTGACTGCTGCTGCGGTGGACTGTTTGACTGACCATTGGTTGACTTTACCTTCTTTCCATTGTGCTCCTCACTGTTGCCCTCACTGTGGCCATTCTTTTTCGGCGAGTGAGTGTGACCGTTTTGGTGGCCGTTTGACTTTGGCTGCTGCTGCTCTCCATTTACCCGACCATTTGCTTCGGCGTTGGCCTTTGCTCGGTAGTCAATTTGATTTGCCTGCAAGATGTACTCCAGCTTGGCATTAAAGTCCTTTGTCGCCGGCTGACCGTTAGGCAGTGGAGTGGTGAGGGGCTTGATGAAGATGGGCCTGTTTGTCTTTGCTCCTACGCCAGTCTGGTAGATAAAAGCCAAAAATTAAACAGTTAATATTTCGACTTTGAAAAGCTATTGGCTATTAAACTCACCTTTAGATTGAAAAGAATGGGATTGCGCGTCTCTCCGCTGATCCACTGCTCGGCGGTGAGCGCCGGCGTGGGCGCCGAAGTGTTGGGAAAGATGTCCGCCTGGAACTGCTCCGACTTGCGCGGCACAATCATCGAAATGGGCTCACAGACGGCCCGAGTGGCGTGCAATTTGTAGAAACGGAGAATCTCACACTTGTAGACATCACAGCCGCGTTTGGGCATCACACAGAGGCCACGCTGAGGCTGACCGGAGAGAAACTGCGACAGGTAGTGACAAAAGGGCGCCTCATCAGTGGTCTCATAGAAGCGAATGTTGCCGTCGCCTTTTCCCGCTACGTACACCATTCGAGTGTCGTGGTCGTAGTAGGGAAAGAGCACCCCGGAGCTGGAGTCGATGTTCTCAATGGTCAACGGCACACTGAGGTCCTTCTCCGACCAGACGGCCCACTGGCGGTCGCTGTACCGGGAGAAGCCCACTGTGAAGAGGCGGCCCGAATCTCCCAGATAAACGACCTTGTTTGCTTTTGTTCCGTGGTGACACAAACCCTGGTTGACCACTGCACCCGAACGAGGGTCGATGATGCGCAGCTTCTTGTCCTTGCAGGTAGTCGCAAAAAGGCTTCCCTCGCGGTTAAAGGACATCGAGTGGATGACATCAGTGTGACAGTCGATGACTCGAACCACCTCTGCCCGGGCGGTGTTCCAGACGATGACGAGGTGGTCAAAGCCAGCAGAAAGCAGTATGTTGTCAGCCGTGGGGTGCCACTCGAGGAAGCTCACCCGTCGTTTGTGCTCTCGCAGGTCACAGATGGGCTGATTCATGTTGCGACTGAGCAGTCCCTCGTCGGGAATGTACCAGCACTTGATGGTGGTGTCGTCTGAACAGGAGGCAATGACATTGTCGTTGAAGGGACTCCACTTGACATCGTACACCTGTCCCTTGTGACCGGTGACGCGACCAGCGTGCACCTCCACACGACCGACCTAAATTGGAGTTTGAGTAGAGTTCTAGATTAGTTTAAACTATTTAGAAAGAAGGAAAAAAGAAAATGTCAAATGTCTAGACAGGTTAATTGTAAATGTTTAAAACCACTAATTATCTGCTATTCANCCAGCGTGCACCTCCACACGACCGACCTAAATTGGAGTTTGAGTAGAGTTCTAGATTAGTTCAAACTATTTAAAAAAAGGAAAAAAATGTCAAATGTCTAGACAGGTTAATTGTAAATGTTTAAAACCACTAATTATCTGCTATTCAAGTCATTGAATCAATTGAATAACATCAATCGATCATACATGGGGAAAAAAGTAGCTTGCCTGCTGCTGCCTGCCCGCAAGAGTAGAGAAACTATGCAAATAGAAGCAGTCATGCAGCGTTTAGTGTCAACGTCCTTCCCTGGCAGACAGTTCAATCGAAGGTCGACTTTAGCTCAACTTAGCAGTCGAGTGTTTGTTGTAGTGGGCAACAAGTGCCAATTAGAATCTAATTGCTTGACGAGCACACTTGAGCATTGCCACACTGATGATGGTGGTGGTGATGAACTGCAGAGGAAGCAGAAGCAGTAGAGCACTCACTAAAGAGTGAAGGGACGACAATGTGCCGTTAGAGAGAGAAGTGGCTAATGCTCTTCAAGTGTCAAGCCATAAAATTGATGGTGTGCGATTAATCAGACACAGTGTTGGAGGGCTATTACCAGAGCTGTTACCAGTGACCACCAGTGTTTCTCTCAAATGACCATTTGCCTAGATAATCTTCCCTTTTGGTGAACAAGAGGAGAAAATGTGACAATCACGACGCATTGTCGTCTACCGGTAGAAATGTAGTGGTAGAAATGCTGATGTCCTGAATGTACTGTTCCCACCCCCACTTTTCTCATCTAAAATCAACCTAATATGGTGCTATCCAGCAGCTGTTGACAGGGAAAAGTAAAGTGCTGCTGTAGACAGAGACTGCAGCAACAGTTTAAATGACAATCGACCGAGAAAAGAAGCAGAGGCAGACGTCTCTGGTAGAGCAGACACTGAAAGAGTCCCCTTTATGGAGACCAATTTCAATGTCAAATTCTAAATAAAGCAGATTCACCAGTAGAGCAGGAGATCTTTTTCTCCTGCTTTGATGGTACTTTATGCGATGCTCCACTAGGCAACAGCATTCAGCATTCAGTTGGGGGATTTATGAGTACTATTGAAGATGCTGCCATCAAATAGAGTCATCATCAAAGGCAGAGTAAAGTGTGCTCATGAGTGACTGAAGAATGCCTGCTATTCTTTCCTGCTAATAAACTAGTAACACTCAGCAAAGCAGAGCACCAAAAGTTATGATTTGATTGTCACTGGGAGATCGTCTGTGTGCTCATCGGTGCTGTCTGTGCCGAGTCGCTGAGGTGGCACAGTGTCTGGCCGGGCAGACTGCTATACTCCAAATTGCCGAGTAATCAAACGAAATTGGAGAGGATGGGGTAGAGTAAAAATGACGATGATGATGCCTGTGATCACTCTCATCATCCATCAAATGTGCGCATGGGAATCCATCTTTCGGTGTATTTCTTTTTTCTCCGAAAATGTCCAGATCACCTCGATGACGACGACTTTCCTATCTTTTACTTTGATTGTCCAATCGTGCAAACGTTAAATTGATTAAGTAAATGCTAAATAATGCAATTGCAGAGCAATCTTTTATGCCTAAAATAAGCAATGCTAAGAGAATTCAGCAGTAAACTGTGTGCATCGTATCAGCAAATGAGAAAGAAAGAAAGAGACAGAAAGGTCAATCAGAGAGTGAATTGATGGCGACCGATTGGCTGCACATTTCTCGCTTCATCGACATTGTCTTGGGTAGAAGAAATGGTCCAATTGGCAGCAGAAAATGAAGCCCATCATGCAGCCATTGCTCCACTTTGAATGATTGCCTGCGCACAGCAACAACATAAAGACGAGCTAAAAGACATTCAAGTAGAATTCAACAGCAAATGGCAGTTTGGCAGGCGGAAGACAAGACTCTCAAAAACAGTTAAACTCTTTTCCTCAAGTCGATGTTGACGCAAAACACTGCGTTCATCACCGGAAAGCAAGGAAGAGGAGACGAAAAAACAAAATCTGTTTCTAATTGGCAGATCGAGTACTATCTTTAAACTTGATTAGAACGAGTACTAATACCGTAAACGGATTGCTTGTGTCTGTGCCTAGTAGACCAAAGAGAGTGTGTCTCGCCAGCTGATCCGTAGATGGCTGTGAATGGCACCGAGGCGTACAGAAAGCAGAAAGATAATGGCTAATGAGATGATGACGCTCAGTGCTGAACACAACCAACAATTAGCACCCGTTGTGCTAGCGCCCAATGGTGGCTATCACTTCCCTTTCTTTATTGCGGTTTCGATGGAGGATAGATTGAAATGGGAAAAATCAACAAAACGTGCCATATCGGCAGGACAGGTAAAACGGCAAGGGAAAGAACGGCTGCAGATGGGAGAAAGTTTCATCTCCTCAATTGCCCTAATCAACGGCCTAATTGAACGATATTACTTTCATTTCGCCCACAACATTTGGCAAAAGTAAAAAGTATTAATAACCGGCAATTGCAGCAGTGCAACTCCGTCTGAAAGAGAACAGCCACAGTTGGCTGATAATTAAATTAACAGTCGCTTGTTCAGCGTCTGCTAATGAGCAGTGGCAACAGCGGCAGACAGGTCGAATGACCAACCAGTGGTGAGCAGAGTGTGCAATGCAGACTGATTCACATCAGACAAAAACAGAAAACGGAGACCGCTTTCACCGGTGTGTCTTTATTTATAACTGTCCCACTATCTAATGCTTTATGGTAAAGAGCGAGAATGTGTTTGTTGCCTTCAGAAAAGGGCTAAAATAGAAGCGCGTGAGTGAAACGGTGCAAACGACGGACTTCTTTCTTATTTTTTCTGCTGCCGTTGTTCTTCTCAGCTCTCTCTCTATCTCTCTGAAATGGCCCTTGCAGCTGGCCATCTACGCACACACACACTATTGCAGTCGGTAATAGTAATGGACACCGACGGGTGCAATTACCGCTCGTCAGGTTAAACATATCAAATGCAAATGCTTGCTTTGCTGTTTCAGCAGTGCCATTCAGACTGCACTCTTTTCAGTGCTGTTCTTGCAGCTTTAATTTCCGCAATTTGTCACGTTACCCGACATTAAGCCATCTAAGGCGGGGGATGAAGTGGCAGACTCCCATTTTCCAATGACAGCAAGCAAAGTGGGTTCCTCTACTGAGCGACCGTCAGTGCCCGTCTCACTGTCAGTCTGTCTGGTGGTCACGCAAGGCGTCCACCCAGAGAGGAAGAAGGAGAAGAAAAGGTTGATTGCAAACCTCAGTGACAGAGGCAGTGAGAGGACGACGATTGACCAGTCAGTCTGTTAGTCAGACAACAAAGGCAAATGATAGAACCAGTTGAGAGTGCTGACGATGATGATGATGGTGATGGCTGAGTTGCCTGAGTTGCATGAGTGCAATCGAGCTCGATTCTGTGTTTGCCAGCAAAAAAGTTGCTGCAGCAACCTTACAATTGGCAGCACAATGCGGAAGGAATGACAGCAGTTCAGCGAAACAATCGTGCACACCTCATCTTTCCCTCTTCGGGGTGACTTCTCGTGAATTGAATCCTTTCTCTCCGCCGTTTTACTCCTTTGATCTCTAAATGCTGGTTCTGTCGCTATCTAGAATTCACAAGCAGATCCCAAATTGGTAAGTGTGCCACCTTGCTGGCAGAGTGCCGTGCTTTGATTGCAGCAGCACAGTCTTTTCCTTTTCGTGGTTTCCCTTTCTTCCTCTCCTCTCCTCTTGGCGTGTCTCCTAATAATGCAATGTGCCACTAATATGCTTGTAAACAGCCTAGATGACGGTAAGATGTCGACAGGATAAATGTTGAGGAAATCGACAGCTTTTGCCTGCTCGCAAATGCTCCCCCCCATTGGGACACTTGTGGGCGTTTGTCGTTCATCTTTGGCAGCGAAGACAACAACCTGACTAATTGACACTGTTCCTCACTGCTTTGAGTGCAGACCAGGCAGAAGAAGAATTAAGTGTCGAGTAGGGAGAGCAGTGTTCGCAGCAGTGCCTATTATTAGTGTCTGCAGGCAGTGGTTGTTTGACACCGGCAAAGATGGTACGTTTCCACCAGCACCACCACAACGCTGTTCAGTGCGTGCATTCAACCAAAAGTGGGTTAACACACAGAAGAGAAGTTGCAGCAAAAAAGTCGGTGACCTAGCGCACAGAGGGGGAAGAAGAAAGAGATTGAACAACCGCCCATCTCTTCGGTGGCACTGAACTGGGCCACAACTGTGCAACGATTGTCGCAGAGGGAAACAAAAAGGAGAAGACAGCAGTTATTGCAAAACACAGAACAACCTGCAATTGTGGTGCACTTGTGGTGGCACTAATTTGCACTGCTTCTCAGAATCGATCACAGCTGTTAAAGCCAGCAACTGCCAACAGCAGATTTAAGCGTTTTAGGCAGATCAGCGAGCATTTGATGCTATCAAATTTCACCGTAGTGATTAGCACTGCTGAAAAAGGTAGAGAAGAGCAGGCTACACTGCTGTGGTTTGGGTTATTAATTTTCCACCTTTGTCTAATAGTGCAGGAATGAGGGGGAACGTTTGAGGAAGTAGTGGGCACATTAACATTGGTGCTGGTGGTAATATGGTGGGGATGTGTGCAACAACAATAGACTGCCTGGCAGTTTGCACAATGAACACCTCTGCTGGCCAGTGGGCAACTCATAGATGCTTGGCCTTCACAGCCTGCGGAGACTGTAAGTTCAAAAAACTCCGTCGTTCACTGCCACACACACAGGCAGACAGTGTCCTCTTCGCTGACTGTGGAGGCGATAATAGCGATGGTGTGTGTGCGTGTGTTGATGGCGTAAGGCACACACACACAGACACAAGCATCATTCTCTGTTCTGAGCAGAGTACAATCAACTCCAGTCAAGTTCATCATCGACTGAAGATGCTGCACTTGCTGAAGTGACTGACGCAAGCACCCGCCACTCACTCAATTTGGTGGACAACAAACATTTACATCACCAGCGACTCGTGTTAGCACTCCTCGCTGGTGCTCAGACTACTTTTTGAGTCTGGTGGTGTTTGAGCATCCACAGCGGCTACTGCTGTTACAGTTAGACAGAGCACTGACAATTGCAACACTGGTGCCGTCATCGCATCATCGCCGCTCGCCGTCCACCAACGCGCACACTCTTTTACCGCCCTGATGGCAAGCACATGTCTTCTTCCTCTTCCTCACTCCTCACATGTTACTCTGTTTCTGGCTTTCCCTGGGCAGCTGATGATGATCGGTCGTTTAACTGTTCGAAGTATATGTGCAGCTTCAGATGGCCACAGATGGACTGCTGTGCCAAGTGCACACACAAACACACATGGACAAGTGGAAAACTGAAACACATAAACACAGGCAGACACCACGGCCATCACACCATTTGCTACTGAGTTGTGGAAGGGGAGCACACGAGTTTGCACACAAGTCAGCAAACAATGCCCACTGCTGCAACAGTGCGATGTTCAACATTGCCACTGATCACTGAAAGCTTTCGCAGATCGTGAGTCAAGTCGCAAGTGTGTGAGTGCCGCTAAAAGTGAGTGTTGGAGGAAAAACAACGGCGTAACGGCACACAATGTCTATTGAGGACCATTGGCCAATGGCCTGGACGTCTTGCTCGATTGAGCCATCATCACGTGTAATGCAATCGGCAGCTAAATTGATTGGCGCCAGCACATACAGCATCGCAGTGGCACTAACGATGATTTGATCGGAAAGAAACTGATCAAAAGTTGGACAAAACAAAGTGAAAAAGGATGAAATCAAAGTACCTCGCTCTTTCTCGCTCAGTTACGATGTCAGTGGTAACTAACTTACTAACTGTCTAGCGATATTGTCAGCATCAGCTATCAGTGATTACATTGCCGTGTCTGTGTCACAAAAAACCAAGCCACAACAGCAAAGTGAGGTGATTGAGCGATATGATAGTGGCAGAAAAGGCACAGGACTGGAAGGCTCGTGCGTGAAGTCTGACAAAACACGAACTGAAGAAACCTTTCTATCTACACTCACAGAAAACTAAAATAGTAATCAAAAGTGAGCTTACCTTGTCGAGGGGTATCACAATGAAACTGCCACCTCCACAGCTTTCCGTTACGATGGCCAAAAACTGTAAAGAGAGACAAAAAGTGAGGGTGTCAGTTTGGTGTCAGTTACGAGCTATCAACTGCAATGAACTCCAGCAATAGACCACTGAAGCAATTGCCTCAAAGACTGCTGACTCACTTTTGGGTTGACGGCGCAAAAGTTACTGTCATGTGCATTCTTGGTGATGTTGATGTTGTCGTAACACTGGTCTTTCCGAGCCGCAGAGCCATACACGTGTCGGTACTTGCTGGTGCGAACACCTTTAAACAATGCCTGTGCGGGGAAGAAAGAGGAAAAAGCGTGAAATAAACAAATGGCTTGTGTGTTTTGCTGTAACTAATTTTGTTGCTTCATTAGTGCCACTGCATCCTTAGCATTGTTTGCCCATTACAAAGCAACAAATGGACATGGAACTGCCTCATTTACTAATAAGCAGCGCTGCCCACACGTTTAAATACTCAGTGTTTAGTTTTTAGTGCTGTTTTGTATTACCTTGGTATGATAGGACATGGTGAACCGCACAACTGCAGTTTAGCAGTCAATAAATCACTTGGAAGTTTTTGTGGTAGCAGTCGTGAAAAAAGCAGGGGCAAACGACGAGAATTCACTATTGCACTAGGTTTGTGTGGCACAAGTAGTTCAGTGGTGCACTGCGGTATAGTAAATGGACACTAAAATAGCAGCGGAGAGAATATATCACAAATGACCAACTATTTAGTGGTCAGAAAAAGGCAGAATGACACACAAACACACAAAGGGGTACACGAGAGAAAAGTGACTACAACTGACTTCGGCACTCTTGCGCTGACTGACGACTCTGGCAATCACTTTGGCGGAGGAACTAGAGAAGTGGCAACTACGCGATCCCAGATCAGCTGACGTCAGGCTTATCACTCTGTTTCCATAGAAGTCAGTGTCTGTATGAGTGAGAGAGTGCAAGTGCTGGGACGAGAGTGAAACACGGCTTGTTTGTCGCCGCAGAATGAAAGTGTCCTGTGGAATGGAGATGTAGAAGTGTGCTTGCTTTATGGAGAGCACATGGAGACACTTAATGTGTCGGCGACAGCAGCAACAGCAGCAGAAGCAGAAGGCGCAGGTTGCCCGGCACACAAGAGCAAATGTCGTTTTGATGTGCTTTATGTTTGTCAGTAAAAGTGCTGCTGCTGCTGGCGGTGCAAGTGCTGAACAAACATCGTCCAGAAGGAGAAGAAGGGGACACTTAGATGAAGTGAGTCAGAGAGAGCACAAAAAATAATAATCATCGGTGTGCAAGCCTTGATGATGGCAGTGGCGAGTGCAATTCTACCTGCTGAAGCAAGAAACAACAGAGAGGTCGCAACAGAAAAACAGCAGTCCAGCTGTGTTTTTGTGTGAGTGTCTCTGAGTGTGGAGCTGACTGAATGAAAACGACAACTTTATCTGCGGCGTCGACTGCAAAAACAGCAGCAGCAGCGGCGGCAGCAGTTCAGCTCGACTGCAAACTGGTCTGTCCGCAAGACATCGCCGCAATCAAAGCTCTAGCACTGACACACACTGGCTTTGGAGGTGCATTGAAGCGCACACGGTTATGATCGCACGGAAAGGCATCGACGACTGCCAGGGAAAAAGAGAAGAAAAAGAAGGGAAGACAAGTCCGAAGCAGTGCAGGAACACATACAGGCACTAGCACACAATTGCCACACAGGAGTGGTCTCAGGCGTGGTGTGTTCTTTTGCGCCCTCTTCTGCACCGGCAGCGGCGGCACTCTATCTATCAGCCTCTATCGGATATGGAGTTGCTACATTTATGGTCTCCGGCTCAGTTGCAGTCAGAGAGCAGTGTGTGTGTGTTGAACGAATGCATCGTCGGCACTGACTCCGGCAATATATATTTTCGGTATATCGCCCCGGTGACAGACGATACGTGCCACCACAACTGCTGTAGCAGCATCAGCATCAGCAAGAGCACACATGGCCTCTCACGCGACCTACACTTCACTATCTCTGCTAGCTGGATCTGTGAACAACTCGCTAACTTGCTAATTGGCATCAACAAACTGGTAGTAGATTGACATGGCTGTTTCTTTGGTATCTTTTGCTCGATTCACAAAAACCAGTCAAAATCCAGTCAAGTGAAGGTCAGCTGGCGCCAGTGACCATATGATTGCCTTGCTGAGCAAGTTGGCAGTTCGACTGCAGTACCAGTTAAAAGAGGTGAAAGAAATAAGCGGACTTTTCACAACAGCCTTAGTACATTGTCACCCGTTTGTTTGTGTGTGTATGTGTCGGATTATCGCAGCATCTC